TCTTTGTTTGTATGTGGTGCTGAGGATCGAACCCAGGCCACACGCATGCCAGGCGAGTGCACTACCATTTGAGCCACATCCCCAGCCCAATTTACTATCCTTTGAAATGAATCATATTTTACACCCATAACTTAAGTTTCCAACAACACATTGTAGGAATCTGTTTTTCTCTGCACCCTTTGGTAGCATGATTAACTTCTTCTTTTATTGGTGCACTACAGTCATACATAATATCGGGGTTCATTCTGACATAGTCATACAAGCATGGAGAGTCATTTGCTCCATTTTGGTCCCCAGTACTTCCCCCTCCCTCCCTCCCCTCTGCCCTCCCCTCTACTTGACTGGTCTCCTTCTACTTATTTATAGTTCTTTAAAATTCATTTTGCATGTATGTGCAATGGTGGGCTTCACTGTGGTCTCTTCATGCCTGGACACAGGGCAGTTTGGTCAGGTTCATGTGTATAGCTCTAACTCATCCTCTCTGCTGCTGCTTCATGCTCTGTGATGAGGTTCTCACCACAATGCACTCAGTACTCCCCAGGAGCAGACTCTCTCTCCACCGTAAATACTGCAGGAAACATTCTACATACCTAAATCCCTAGGCACTGAAGCCCTTCCCCCTGTATAATAAGAGTCCACACAGCAAAGCCATTAGAAGAGCATCTCTGAAGTCCAACAAAGACAGGTACGGTTTCCTCCAGGGACAATAGCCTCTCCTCTTTCCCACCCACGTGCTCTTTCTCCCGCCTTTCAGCAGCATGCAGAGTGAAGGCACCTCAGCAATGTCTGTCTGTGCGTCACATGAGCTGTCTCTCCTTAAAAGCCGTCCCAGTCCTTGGGTCATACCTATGTTTTCCTACATTTTCTTCAAAAAAAAAAAAAGATTTTGTTTCTTTTACATTTGAAGTTTGATTAATGAAGAATTTAGTTTTGTATAGGATTCAAAAGGTGAATGCAACCCTTTTTTTTTTTCTCCAAGCAGATATTTAAACACGACAGATGGAGGATGAAATAAACCTTCTGTACATTTAAACACTTATGTTTAAATCCTAACATATCCTGGGATGCAGGCTACAGGTTATGGGAGGGGGGTAGAACAGCGTGGTGGGGAAATAGGTGCTTTCTGGAGCCAGCAAGCATCACAGAACACCGCTGCCCATGACAGATGCCATTATCTGACTCCTTGCAGGCGGGAGCTATGCTTTTTATATTGCAGTATTTACATTATGCTGTATTTACATTAGACCCAGTGGGAAAAATGTTTCTCTACACCCGTGTTATTTCTGCTCATAGTATTCTCATTATTGGATTTCTTTCTATATAAATTTTAAAATCTGATATTTTCTATCAGGCAGAAATTAAAGAGAATAAACATTTAGGGCTGGCCCAAGTTCAGGGTGACATCTATTTATCTGTTAACAAGGTATTAATATGACATTGTATAAAAGGAGAAGAATAGACTTTTTCCCCAGAAGAACATCATGAATTCCCCCAATTTTTGAAAAATGAAAAGAAAACATTCTGATAATGAAAGTTTTCTTATTGACTTACCCTCTACTTCTGGAAATTGAATTGTAGAATCTGAGAAATAAAATTTAAAGTGAAATTTATTTTACTTTTTATAGACTTTAAAGAGGCTGTCATATAAAATGGAATCAAATAAAAATGCTCATTTGAGGTGATGTTATTACTGGATTACGTCTTCCATACAAGAATATGACATAATTTTCTACTTCTTAGAACTAGTTTTATATGTTTTGATGACTTTATCATTTGCTTTATATGAATCCTAACCCTTTCTTGACTTAATTCTAAAATATTTTCATTATTGATATAAAATAGATTTTCTACTTTTTTCATTAATATTTGGTTCTTATCAGAATAGAGAAAAACTATTGATTGTTGCATGTTTATTTATAACCGGCCATAGAGCCAGAATCTCTTAATAATAAAACTAATAAATTCTCTTAATAATTCTCCTAATAATTTTCTTAATAAAACTAGTGTTTCTAGGGTTTTCAAAGTATGTGATTATAAAATAATTTTGCCTATTATTTTATGCAGGCTTATAGATTATTTCTTTCTTAATCACATATATTATAGCCCCACCCCAATAATGCTAAAAAGTATTGACAATAAGTAGCCCTGTGCTTTCCTGGTTCAGAATGCTTATTCGCATGGCTAATGTTAGCTCAAAAATAGAGATCAACTTAAAAAATCTATCACTTAGATAATTTTAAGTAAATGAGCTTTATGATGTTCTGGCCTCAACAAAGTTGAACACATAAACAGTAGATATGGAAACATGTGCACCTTATTTTTCAATGAGAAAGGGCTGTCCCTATTTCATGATGTCCCATAAAACTCAATTTTTACAAAAAAGAAAATCACATTTTGAAGTTGTATGTAATGTACTATTTACTCACTCAAAAGTATTGGTAATAAAATTATAATTTCTCTCTTCTTCTTCCTCAAATATTTTAAAAATGAAACATACTTTAACTTATGTATAAGGAAATAAAAATTAGTTTTCTTGAAAAATATGATTTCTTTCCAGGAAAATAAATATTCCATGACTTCACATTTTATTGCAAAATTTAAAAAGAAACTTTAAAACTATGACCAACTTACCTTCAGGTGGTGGGGAGTCATCTGAAAGACACAATTTTGGAAAAAAAAATAGCTATTTTACTAAAGCTATCATTTAAAATGAAAGGAACAGAAAATTTTCACCAATATTCAGTCCAGAAAAAGAAAAAAGATAATACTTTTGAAGGTATACACAAAATTCAACAGTGCTTATTTTTAGTGGTGTGATTGTAGGTGGTTCCTAATTTTCCTTTTCCTAGAATTATATTTTACAAATATGAATGAATTGACTCAGATTCAATAGCAAGTCTCTTAAAAATTCAGATTCAATAGGTGTGGAACAGAGCCTACATCCCACCCATCTGAGGCAGGTGGACGCAGAGATGCTTTGGATGAAGCACCGAGATTTGTAGACCTTGATTGGACTCTAATTGTCATGGGGTTCACAGGAGCTTTTTGAGGTGTCGGCGGTGATCTAATTCATGCTCTTTAAACATGGCATGGCTGTTGTGGAGGTAGGGGACGGGGTGGGGTGGACGCTGGGAGCCCAGAGGTGGACGCAGGGAGGGGTCCAGGGGAGTTATAGATGGTCCAGCGGGTGGCGCCAGGACGCCGCTTCCCCTAGAAGAACCCACCTGTCTCCGCGGGCTGTCTTCCCCGGGTGTGCCTCTGCGGCCTCTGCGTTCTGTTCTTGTAAGGACACTGGTCACTGGGTTGGGGACCACCCTTATCTATCTGACTCCGTTTAACTAACAACATCTGCAAAGACCCTGATTCTAAACACGGTCACTTTCGCAGGTTTGGACAGACGTGACTTTGGCTAGTGAGGGACACCGCTCCATCCCGGGCCTCCTGGAGGTGAGGATTCGGGTCACAGGTACAATGGGGTGTGTAGTACTGCCGCAGTGGGGCTCTGGAGTGTCCCATAGAGGCCCCTGTATTAAAAGCTTGGTCCCCAGCTTGGTGCCATTGGGAGGCCCAGTAACAGGTCATGGGGTATGTGTCCTCCCAGGGGACAGTAGGACTCCAGCCCCTGCCTTTTTCTCTTTTTCACTTTCTGGCCATGAGGCGAGTGGCTGAGTTCCACCCTAGGTTCTCATGCCGCCGCCTCGCCGCAGGCCCAAAGGAAGGGGCCACAGCACATGGACCAAAGCCTCCCTGTGAGCCCCAAGGAACCTTTTCTCATTATAAGCGGATTTCCTCAGGTATTTGCTATCATAATGGAAAGCTGACCAACACAACCCGCTGCTTCCAAGAGACCCACACCACCTATCACAACAACCAGCCCAAATAACGTGTTCCTGTTTATAGAAGCTCCCTTCAGCCAACTTCAAGCACAAGCTGTAGAAATTGCAGATGACCTTATCTCACACCCCAGGACAACAGTTTTCAAGAGTTCATTCTCAAGCTGAGGCTCAAATGTGGAAGGCAAGCAGAAATACTCCACCCAACTCTCCAAAGTCACCTGAGTCAAGACTGGTGACTGCTTAAGGCAAGGGTGGATTCCCGAGGAAGGTAAATAGCACAAGGACTTTTCAAAAACACAAATGTTTTAATTTTTTTTAAAAGGAAAACAACAAAGACACAGACCTAATCATAATGGCCAAGTGTCCCCATGCCCTCACGGCATGGTAATGTAAATGATGCAGCCACGTTGAAAAATAGTTTGGAGGCTCCTCAACTAGGCCATTGGATGGTGCAGAAATCCCACACTGGAAATATATCCCAGGGAATAAAAGGTAGGGCCTTGACATGGTATCTGCACTCCCACGTGGTGGTACTCACAATAGTCTAGATATGGAATAAACCTGGGTTTCATCAGTGGATGAAAGATTTTTTTTCAAATGTGGCATATATGTAAAAGGGGATTTTAGAATAGGAATAGAAAGTCCTGCCATTTAGCTGTCAAATTCAGGAGGACATTACGCCAAGTGCAAGAGGCCAGCCACAGAAGGTAAGTACTGCATGATGTCCTGTATATAAGAAATCTAAAGTAGACAGACTCACTCTGTGAAGATTAACCACAGGTTGAGTGTGCCTAGTCTGAAAATCCAAGATCTGAAATAATCCAAAATTTAAATAAATTGAATAAAATAAAATTGAATATCTACATGATGCTGCAAATGGAAAATCCCACACCATTCAACTTTGTGTGTGTGTGTGTGTGTGTGTGTGTGCAAAATCATTAAAAATGTGGAGGAAAATAACCTTTAGGCTATTGGGTAAAGTGTATATGAAACATAAGTGAAATTCATGTTTGCACTTGGTTCCCATCCCAAAAATATCTCATTATGCATATGCAAATATTCCAAAATATGAAAAGTAAAACATCCCACACCCCCAAGCATTCTGGGTAAGGGATTTCAACCTGTACTAAATCTCAATACATATCCTGCCTTTTAAATAGTAAGAGTAGCTGTCACACAGTAATAGCGATAATAGCAACATACTAGTGGCAGAAACTAATTTCCCAGTAGCTCTGGAAGGCGGCAAGAGCCATTGTCCTCCTACATCAGAAGTGAGAAATAAGAGCCCTCTGAGGCTCAAGACTTTGCCTGAAGTCAACATGAGAAGCTCAGTTGGAACCAGGAGAGGCCAGAGGGGAAGCAGCCTCCTAAGAGCTGGTCTGGAGCCGAGCAGGAAGGAATCCAGGTAAGAGAAGCCCTCAGCTCTGGGCAGATGGGGACACGGGACAGCTCTGAGCTATCATCCATCTTCATCTCCATAAAATAATACAGGCTCGTGTAATGTAAGGCTCACTTTTTAGCACAAACCTTTGCAGAAATTAAATGATTGGCGGGCGAGCAGTCCTACCACACAGGAGCCTGAAATGATGACAATCCCAGAATTTGGGGTGCATAGAGCAGGTCTGGTTCTGCCCAGTGGGTCCCTTGCAGAGACCCCACTCTTGTAGTCCCTCAGACAACCTAACACCTTGGAACAGTAGAGAAATTACATTTTATACACAGCAGATTTTCATCTCTGGAACAAGATCACTCAACCGGGCCCTCTGTGAGAGCTTGCCAGTTCAATCACTTCTCTTCTCTGGGCCAGGAATGTAGATGATTTCGCCCCTAGCCTACAGGGACTCTTTCCTTTGTCTTCCTGCTAGCCGCGGCAATGGAGTGAAAATATTATGACTTTTAATCTCTTGTGCACCTAGCAGATCCCAAACCTACCAAGTTATTGCTGCCAAGGGGCTAAAATACAATGCTTCTCATGGTCTGTAGTCTCCAAAATCAGAATGCCCCTTACTCCAGGTAGCATCTACTTATCTTAGGAGGGTTGCTGTGGAGATGTGGTCATTATGTCCTGCACTGACTACAACCAGCAACAAAACTTGCAGTGTGAACTTCAGTGGCTCAAAAGACAACATGCCTAAGCCAGGCATGGTGGAGCACTTGAAACCCCAGCAGCTTGGGAGGCTGAGGGCAGGAGGATTGCAAATTCAAAGCCAGCCTCAGCAACTTAGTGAGACCCTAAGCAACTTAGCAAGACCCCTACTCAAAATATAAAATGAAAAGGACTGAGGATGTAATTTAGTGGAAAAGTGCCTCTGGTTCCAGTGCCCTGTGCAAAAAAAAAAAAAAAAGTAATAATAATAAAAAGTCAACAAGGCTCTAGTAACATGAGGAAGCAGATGGCCATGAGAGACCAAAGGAAGGCTTTGGACAAGCAGCAGTCCTGCAGGTCAAAAGCAGACGGGCTCTGCCATCATCTACAATAGAGGCCAAGGTGCCCAAGACCAATGGGCTTTTATTCTCTTACATGTTGTTTTGAGAAATGCTTTACCACTAGGGGTCTGGACAGCACCGAGATGAGATTTGCAGGAAAAATAAGACATCCACAATTCAGGAGGACAGACAGTGGAAGTGGAGAAGTTTTAGGAACCCCTGAACCAGCTTCTATCACTTACACATTCTCTTTCTTACGCAGGTATGAAAGGGATTTCTGACTTAAAAAAGATGAAACCTGTGACCAAGTCAAAAAGTGTTAATTTTCAATTGGTGTAAAGTAGAAACTCCAGCTGCTGGGCGTGCAATAACCACGTCAGGTTGAGAGCATCTTTTTAATCTCTCTCTCCCTTTTCCCCTCCTTCCCTTCCTCTTTTCCTTCCTTTTTCTTATTTTGTTTTTTAAAACATTCATGAGCACTGTTTCACTTATTTTTAAATGCAAAGATGTCCTAAAGGGTAATTAAAAAATACATATAATATTCTTGATTCGGCCATTCTATAAAAAAAAATGTTTCCACAAATAAGCATCATCCTAATCAAATGGTAAGAGGCAAACCCCAAGTTAATTCCCTTGTCCCATTATCCCCTTAGATTTATGAAAAGCAACATGACTTTGGTAAAGCAATAAAAAAAGACTTCACAAAAATTGGTTTCCTTTCACCTTCACATGAGGCCTTTGGAATGTACCCGGGTGAAGGGGGACACAATTTATCAAGTTACTCAACTGCTGCCAACAGATGTTTCCCTTGGCATTTCCATTTTTTATTTGTTGAACATTCCTATTTTAGAGTCTATATTGGTGGATCATGTTTCCTAGGTAAAAATGCCTGAAAGACAGACAAAGCTCCTTTTCTTTCTCAGGGTGCGTGAAGTCGGGGTGACTCGCACTCTCCTGGCATCTCCCATTTGGTCGTGTGGCACGCTGGGCTGGGAAGGTCCAACCCAGCGCTGTCGTGGCTTCTCACCTTCATAGGGAACACCGTCCAGGGGGTGAGGCGGGCAGACACACAGCAGCACCAGCAGGAGCCCCAGGCGCTGGGCCATGTTCCTCCTCTACGGAATGCTGGGCACCAGCTCACCGCCGAGTTTTATAGCCCTGAGAACCAGCACCACCACTGTCTGCACTTTGTCCCCTCCTCTCTCTTCCCAGTCTCCTCCTTGTCCCCGCCCACATCTACTTCCAGCGCCCCTCCTATTCCTCAAGCCCCTCCTCCCTCCCCTTGGGCTCCCTCGTCCATTTCTTCCTCCTCCTCCTTCCCTCATCCATCTTTGCCACTTACCTCTGACTCCATGTCCCTCTTCTCCACCGTCTCTGCCTCTTCCTATTTCTCCCCCCTCCACTGTCTTCCCTCCTGCTCTTCCACCTCTCCTCCTCCTCCCTCCTCCTTTTCTTCCTCTTTCCTCTTTTTCTACCCTGAAACTTAATCATCAGCCAGAAAAGTAAGAAATACGTCAAAAGAAATGCTTGACTGGCGTTCAATAGAGACAAGCCAGAGCCACGGTCAGGAGACGCCAGTGGTTCCCACGCAGCTAGTCATCAGGGATCCGCGAGCACTCACCATGTATGTCTCTGGGACCTTGATAAGGTCCCCAGGGTCCTATTGGGGATCCAGGGTAACGCGGCAAATCCTGAAAGAAACCAAGAAGGGGGCCTATGGAATTCTCTTAAAAATTCCCAGGTGGTAGAATATTATTTTAAAATTAGGACTAATTGGATAATATAGTCCAGAGACCTAGTTTCAGGTCTCTCAGGTTTGCCTTCTCAATAGAAAATTCTAGGACTTTTAGCCTTTCATTAATCAGCTGAAACTTCTCCAGTCCTCTTCTCTGTTCCTTAATATTCTTGCCCCTGACCCCCACCCCCGCAAGACTCCATCAATATATACATGACTGAATTTTATGTCCTCACGGACATGCACAAGTTCATCACCTCAGGGTGATCTCATCCAAACTGCCTTCTGGTAATAGCCACTTGGAGAGCACCCTCCTCAGGAAGCCACTGTCTTGTCCTACAGACAGGCTGGGGCCAAAGCCATTTGGCCAATCCCCACATACTCTGGAGGTCTTGGAGCAGAACCTTAAAGAGGATTTGTGAAGAGAGAGAGAGAGATTGATCTAGGGCCAAGAAGGACTCTCTTGAAGGTACAGAAACATGGGAGGGTGTGAAAAGTGGGCTCTGAGGGTCTCCACAATGGGGAAGGAAGGCCACTAAAATGACACTTGAGCCATGTGTCTAGTTTTAAATTTTATAGTAGTCATGTCTTTAAAAAGCAAGGAGGAACAAGTGCAATTTAATATATTTTGTGGAATCCATGATATCTTAACTCTTACCATCTTAGCACATAGGAATTTTTTAAAAAGCTGATATAATTTACATTCTTTGTACTTTGCCTTCAGAATCCACTTACAACACAGGACAATTTGGTGCCCACGTTTCAAGAGCTCAAGAGCCACATGTATTTAGTGGCCACCACATTGGATCTGGGAGAGAAAACCTAGAGAAAGTGGGAAAGGGGGCCTTAGGGAAGATTTCTCTTTTTAATTAAGAAACTTGAGGAGTGAGTTAGGGCAGATAATATGAATTATGTAAGGCCAATGGAGCCTTTCTGGGTCCTGAATTTGGGCAAAGAGAAGAAAAGGGAACTAGAGTGGATGAATTGCCTATTGAGTTCTCCACCCTTTATCAGCCTCAGATGAGCAGGAACTTCACCTTCCCGGTTAACTGAGAGTATCACATACCAGGTGCACAATCAGTATTTATCTACGGAGTCAATGAGTATAACATGGTTCCAAAATAGACACAGATATATCTATACATACAGAGTGTCATGGTACATTCTCTTTTTTGTAACTTTCATTTAATATTCTCTTTATTTTCCTACAGAAAACACAGGGTGAACTCATTATATTTGAAGGCATCTGCTGTTGGTTGACTTAGGTGAAAGAAAAACTTATCTGACCAATTTTCCAATGGTTACCATTGTGTTTATCTCTGGTTATTCCTATTGTAAGTAACCTCGTTCAGCTACATGTGAATCTCAGGGTCTCCTGCAATAGGCATGTCTTTAGAGTTCCTGAGAATTAAATAATAATTAAACAAACTCAAATTATTAAACAAACACAAACAATCAACTCACACAGCGATGCTCAATGAACATGAGCCACTGTTATGTTTTGAACACCCTCCCCACCCCACGTACCGAGAGCTCTGTCTATACGGGATCATCTAGCTCCTGGAGCAATCCTATGGGATGGATTTCAGCAGACTCATATATAGAAAAATAAATTGATAGCCAAACATTTTCTGCTTCATGCTCAAGGTCACGTGTATGGGCTGGAGATCATATCCAGGCAACTCTCAGCCAAGGTTTACCAGTCACAGAAACAGAGACTCTGAGCCATGAACTGTGTTGCTCAAATCCCCACGACCTGCCTAGGACCTGGGGTCTGTGTTTCTGGACACCTTCAGGATGACTGGCTCAAACAGGAGCAGTGATGGTGGAAACAGTCATGACTGGTGTCTACTAAGCACATTCCAGGTGCCAGGCAGTGTTCAGAGACACTTCTGTGTGCATCTGTGTCCTGCACCTGCCAAAGCACACAGAGACACACTTACCTGACGTAACTCACCCTTCTCCTGCAGCTCTCTAGGTCAGCAGTCTCCCTGGCTAAGATCAAGATACCCGCCGGACTGCGTTGCTTCTACAGACCCTGGGGGATCACTCCCCATCTCCAGGTCCTGAGTCCCTTCTTGCAAAGTCCTTTCTACCTGGGAACCAGGCAGGAGCACAGGTCCCAGGGATTAGGGTGGATGTCCAGGGTGGGGGCTGGGCTCCACTCTACCTCCTGAAGCACCTTTGGCTCCCTCCTGTTAACATCCCCAGGCACCAGCCCTGGTCACCATCATTAGCTCCTTTCTACAGATGTGGGGACTGAGACCTGGAACATGGAGTAACTTTGTTCAGGTCAAAAGGGAGCAAGAGGCAAAGCCTTAAAGCTGAGCTGTCCTCGCTCTGGGGCTGGCGGTTCTGAACAGTACAGTGTTCTTCCTGTCTGGATCTCAGGACCTAAACAGAAAGTTGTTTGTTGAATTTGAATCTTGAGAGGAAAGGCAGAAACGGCATTTGAGGTTAGTGAATGAACTAAGGTGTGGATATGAGGGCTTGGGATGAGACAGGAGCATAAGCATGAAGCTGTAGATGGTAAAGGGTTTAAAGAAGGGGTGACATTTGTCTCTCTGCCACCTCCATAGGTGGTAGTCAACCCCAAGTCTGCAGGCTCCCCTTTGCCACTGTCCAGGACCTGCTGCCTGTATCATACCATCTTGACGAGGAGTTTACTCTGTGTCACCTCTGTGTACCTGGAAAAGCTGCACACGTGTCTGAGTGGTTTTCTTCAAACCCATCAGGACACACTGCGATGGCTGTGGCAGGGTGCCAGTACTATGTACCCATGGCTTGGGACAGAGAGTCCTCCAGGTGTTTGAATGTGTCAGTGCTCAAAGAACAACTTGGTCCTCACCTGAATGTCCCAGACACGGTGTCTGGCTCCCTGAGTGGCCTTCCAGCTTAATGATCACCTTGAGCCACCCCAAGACATTTTCTGTTGCTGTCCCTGACTTGGTCCAGGTCGTCTCCTGAACATTCCGGCCTGTCCATCAGTATTGCTTCCTGGTCTCTCTCAAGATCCTTTGTGGCATGAAGCATCAGCCTTGCACGTGTGTAGGGGGAAAGCGTCCAGGTGGAGAGGACAGCAAGAGCAAAAGTCCCATGGGGTAGGCGAGCTGGGCTCATGCAGCGGGCTGTAAAGAGCCAGTGAGTGGGGGCTGGTCAAGGAGGGCAGCGGACGAACGTGGAGCCTCGAGGCGAAGGCCGCGGGTGGATCGTCTAAAGGTGCGTGGATTGTGCTCTAAAGGAGGAGGAGTTGGAATTAATACGCGCTGCCTCTCCCGGGGACTCCCTCCAGTAGCTTCCCGTTGCATTTAGAGTGCGGGAAGGTCGGCAGCCCCAGCCTGGCCCTGCCCAGCTCCCCTCGGGCTCCTCAGCCCACTGCTCCCACTGTCCCCCAGACACGTCGCATCTGCCTCAGGCCCTTTGCACATGGGTTTCTTCTGCCTGCAGAGCCCCCAACCCCACTGCCCTCATGCCCACTTCCTCTTCCTCCTCTTCCTCCTGCTTGGTTGGTATGTGGGTCTCACAGGAGCCCCCTGACCCGACCAGCAGTCAGCCTGCCCTAGTTCCTCCCTGTCTCAGCCTCTGCTCTCCCTTTGGTGGCCACGATCACAGCAGAGTTAAGGCTGGCTCCTGGGCACTCACCTCCTGTCTGTCTCCTGGTGGCCTCAGCCTGGGGAGCAGGGGCCACACTCCCACACACTGCTGTGCCTTCCTCACCCCGAGCCCCTTCCTTCTGAATGAATCCACAGGAGCCTGCGTCAGGAGGGACCCACTGCAGGTGGAACTGGAGGACGTCCTGCGCTGCGAAGTAAGCAGACTCCGAAAATCACGGGTTGAATGTGTTCTGTCCTCTGCAGAAGATAACAAGAAACATAAAAAGAACCCAAAAGGAGGATTTCACAAAAATGGAAGGGAGGTCGGTTTAGTAGAAGGAGGGGGAAGGCGGGAGGAAGGAAGGGAAGGAACTGGGATGAACTGACCAAGTTACACCAGGTTTGTTCATAAACCACCAAAATCAATTCCAAGGTTACATGTGACTCTCCTGTGTCAACTAAGATAAATTAATAAACAGAAGGAATCCAACCGAGCAGAAGAATGGGATCCAGCGGAGGGAGGGGGAAAGAAAGGAGTAGTAGAGGGGATTGAAATGGAGAACTCTGTTGTGCGCATTTATCAATTTGTCAGGATGAACCTCGCCATTACTTAGAATTGTGATGCACTAAAAATACATTTGTAAAACCCTGATTGGGTTGTTTGCTTTTTTGATGTTAAGTTTTTTGAGTTCTTTATATATCTTCATAAATGGGCTAAGGAGCTGAACAGACACTTCTCAGAAAATATACAGTTGATCAACAAATATGTGAAATGTGT